AAAAATGTAGCTTTCCAAGCTACTCATTTAAATTAGTTTAACAACTAATAGCTTGACAACATTTTTACAAAGCAGCAAAACAAAACAAAAAGAAGCTAAATGCATTGAAGCTATTTAAGGGGTTAGTCTTGTATATGAAATGCTTGTGTCCTTTACGCTTCTGTGCATGTTCCTCATACACACTCGCATCCCCAATACCCCAAAGTCGCCCACTCCTCTCACCGCAGACACCCTCCAAGACATGCTTCTGCTTAGAAGAGAAATGTCTTTGAAGTCCTGTCAGTTTCCGAGACAGCGCAGTCGCCCTGTCAACTCCGCTTAGCTGCGATCCCATCCCTAGCATCCCGCTGTTATCCTCCCTCAAGAGCCTCAACACCCAAGAGAGCAGTCTGAGGTCCATTATGTGGGAGTTAGTGGGTTCAGGCCTGCGAGATGATTCTGAAGAATATCCGACACTTATGTAAGCGAGTACAGCGCACATCACTGCCTGCTGTCCTGTTACAGTCATTTATGAGTCAGTGAAGGAACCATGAAGAATACATTTGTTAGAGAATGAGGAGGAATCAGAGCTTTGAGACGGTGTGCCATCTCTGTTTCATTATTATGACAAGATGGGTTATGATTGTTTCAATGAAGCAGGTTACATCTCAGGCAAAATGTATTTAATGTTCTCTGTCTCTCTTTCACAGTGTTTCAATGTCCTATACTGATATGAGAAATAAGTAGATATAGTATAAAGAATTGTGAGAAATGTGTGAAATATGATGATAGAATGGCTTCAAAAAGCGAGGTATAAAAGCAGAAAGATTTCATTATATACATACATATTTGTGTGTGTGTGTGCGTAAATATAGACATACAGATGATGGATGGATGGATGGATAGATGGATAGAGAGATAGATGAATAGACAGACAGAAAGATAATTTTATCAGTGTGTTGTTTATCAGTATTTTGTCAGATCTCATTACATTTTTTACTTTCAGTCAGGAAATGAAGCTCTGTTTCTCTCTCTTTGTCTCTCAATCTCTTTCTCACGCTCTCACTCACTCTTGGTCCACCAGCCACATCCATATTTACATGGTGTTTCTATGCCGTGTTCTCAAGCGACAGCTCCCCCCTGCTATCTTTAATGGAGGCTTTCCTCTCCCAGTGTTAGTGTGTCAGAAAGCCTATCATTCGTAAAGCCGGGTGTTTGCGGTGAGACGATGGTCGTCTGCTGCAAGTCGACGGGGCCTTCTGGACCCCTGAAAGAGTTGAAAATGAAGGCTGTGCACGCAACGTCCTCAGTCTCCAGGGAACAAACGTTGAGTGTGTTACGGTGCATTAATATCATCAAACACACCATGGGAATTTTTTGAAGTGCCACCATGTGTGGGGCTTTACATAGCTAGGAATACAGCCATTATGCTAGTGGTGAGGAGCTAGCAGCGATTTAGCTGTGTGTTACTTTCAAATCATTTACGTATGCAGCTTTTCTAACACCATAATGTAAAATGAAATATTTCCATGCAGCAGTTGAATTTGATCGTAAGAAAAGCTTTGACATGTTTCTTGTGCGTTATATTTTCATTTTTTTCATGGCTATGTAGCATTACATCCTCTCAATTATTATTATTATTGTTCTTTTGCTTTTTCTTCAGCCTGGAATTTTAATCCAATTGGAGAAAATGGTGGGTGGTGAGCTGGTTTTCGTCGCACCCCAGTGCTCTAATTGATTGATTAAAGTAATTGATTGGTTTGGGAGGCCCAGCAACTGATTAAAATGCTTTCAGACATGAGCAGATTGAAAGGCAGCATGTTCCAGCACACTCTCTGGCCCCCAGGGGCCCATGTCTGGGTCTCCTTGAGGAGCAGAGACAGTGGATGTACGTTGGTGTCTGTGTGCTTGCTGTCCATCCGGTCAGTGGAATTAGAATGGTCTCTGGTTAGTTGTTCATTATTTAGACATCTATTGTTTTAGCTCACATAATCATTGCAACATTTGTTTGATTTAAAAATGATCTATCTATCTGTCTGTCCATCCGTCCATCTGTCCATTTATCTGTCTGTCCATCCATCCGTCCATCTGTCTGTCTGTCCATCCATCCGTCTGTCCAACTGTCTGTCTGTCTATCTGTCTGTTTCTGTCCGTCCGTCCATCTATCAATCTGTCTGTCTCTGTCCATCCATCCATCCGTCTGTCCAACTTTCTGTCAGTCAGTCTGTCTGTCTGTGTCCATCCATCCATCCATCCGTCTGTCCATCTGTTTATCTGTCTGTCCATCTATCTATCCATCAATCTGTCCATTTATCTATCTGTCTGTCTGTCTTGTCATTTTTTTTAAATTAGTAATCAGTATTACAGCGGTGGAATGATACAGCAAGCACAATGTCTTGCTTTGTGCATTTAGAAGTGCAAAAAACAAAAATCATACAACAGCATAGCAGTGCATTACATTTACAACACTTTCATTGTTATGTTGCATAATTAACTGGCACATGCACAGAGGGCACTTGCTCTTTGCTGAAGGTTGTCCGAAGGGTTTTGCTCCCTGTGTACTGTGACTCAGCATGTTATGATGTCACTGTTTTTGCCCTCTTTTCCCCAGATAAATGCATGCTTTGCTTTTATTCTGTGTTAAACAAAAGGAGAAACATGCCCCCACCATCCTAAGGGAGCTTTGACAGTCTTTCTCTCATGAACAGATGACAGGAGTGTTTTATCAAAGCAGGAGCTTTTGCTAGAGGCTGGATGTATGTGTGAACGTGTTTTTCTGTGTGTGACCATGTGCCTGTCTGAGGATGACAGGCTGATGAGGCCTGAAAGAGGCTTAGAAAATGAAATAAAAAAAGCTGTTTTTGAAGTCACCGTGATTTGCCATTCACAACCCATTCAACATATGTGATGTATTTCTGAGTGAAACAAGATATTCAATGAAAAACATGTATGGTGGACTTGATTTCATCTCTTAGGAGTTCAATGGATTATAAAAAGTGGGGGTTATATATTTTAAATGAAGAGCATTTTTTTTACAGACACAAACTTTTTTTTCTTCAGAATAAGATGCACTGATGAAATTGTTACTGCTTGTTCCTTGTCTTATTGAGAACAAAGTAAATAAATTTGATTTTATGTTGACTTTATGGGGGAAAAAAAACTATTCTCTTTTAGCTAGAGTTTCTTTTAAACATTTAGTTTTTAGTAGAAGTCTGGGAGAAAAGATCTAATTATGAGTTAGCGGTGTATGAATTGGAACCTGTTTGGTTTGTGGTAATAGCTAACAGTTGTCAGGGATGGCTAACGAGCTGCAACCAGGCAGGGAACAGCCTTGGCTGCAGACGCCAAGCTTCAGGTCCAGTAGGTTTGGCATCATACAAGAAGAGAAAAGAGACTCAAGCAGAAAAAGAGAGAGTCAAACTTCAGGGGACATATTGACTTCTTTGGCAAGAACTCTGAGCTGAGAGTGTAAAAAAAAAAAAAAGATGAAAAGAAGGAACAACAGAGTTAAACAGAGCAGTGGACCTGTGCAGGAGGGAATGAGAGCGAACAAGAACAGAGGAGAGAATAAAAGAGAGCTGAGCGCTGGAGGAATGCTGATCCCTGCATATTTAGCTGGCAGATGGCTGAAATACAGGTATTTTTACCTACAGTCAGGTCAAGATCCTATAGATCAGTGGTTCTCAGCAGTTGGGTCGGGACCCAAAAATGAGTCTCAGGACTTTTTGGATTAGAGATACATAAAATTATGTCTTTGAAAAGAGCTAGATGGACTACAACAGATTGCAAAGGTTTGATAGTCTACTATTTTAAAATTTTAGAAAAAAAAAATGTATGAGTCTCCTAAAATATAAAATACAGTATGTAAAATATATACATAAGAAAAAAATCTTTAAAAACGTAAACTGTTGGAAAAATAGTATACCATCATGACCCATCCCTTTAGGATCCAAAAATGGGTCTCAGGTGTGTTTTGTGCACTTACAGGAAAGAAACTGCTAAATATATAATCATCAATAGTTAGGAAAGCAAAATAAATCAACTTTTAAAAAGGAAAGAGAAACATTTGTCATTTTTAGTTGTCATCAAAGGCTGTATATCTTGTTGCAAACTCATTTGTGACTTGGTTGAAGCTAGTCAGATCCTTGAAGACTATAACAATTCAAAGTATTTAAAAAAAAAAACTGAGCAACATAAAGCCACATCCACAACTGTGCCATTTGATTTGCACAGGATATGATTTTAGTTTACTGAAATGCCTCATATTTATCAGTTTGGCCCAGATTTTGGAGAATAAAACTTTTGCTACATTTACAAAATTGTAAAATCCATTTTACTATTAATGTAATGTAAATATTTGTGTATATTATTGGATCTATGCACTTCATTGTAGCATTGTAATATTATATTTTGTGGAGTTTCCTAATTTTGTAGTTTAAAACTTTTTGCTATTGTGATGGATTATGTCCAATGAAAAAATGTGGGTTCTGAAGCAAAACCAGTTAGGAACCACTGATATAGACATTGCGACTTCAACCTCAGCTGAAACAATTTCGGCACTCCTCCAAATGCTGAATTTAATTGCTGCTTGGATCATATCAAATAGCACGATTGTCTTTCCACAGATGAGCATTTGATAGCAGCCTGAACTCAAATAATACATCAATCCAGATCAAACAGACTGCGAGCTCTTGGCTTGTCTCAGCTCAGCTTTCATTAGAACTAACTGCCTGGGGGACTTGACAAACCACATATTTTCCAATCCTTAGAGAAACCTTGGATGTAATGTAAAAATCAATGCTTGTTCTGCCTCTGTTTTGTGTTCAGCCCTGTTCTGAGGTCTTGCAAAGGGGACATCTCTGTAAAAAGATGTGTTGTATTCCTGCTTTGCTAAATTCTTGTTACACTACTAATAGGAATGTACCCACGGAAAGCCACGCTCGCCGGGCTACTTTTTTGATCATGTCAAGCTTGCCGTCATAGCTTTTGACCTCTCTGATTTCTTTTCCTGTCTCTTGCAGATAATGACGACCATAAGAATGAAAAAGATGGCAGTATGGACCAAGGTGAGTGACAGTGGTTCCTAATGCAGTGTTCACATTTGCAAACAAAGATGGGAAATTATCACATCCAATATCCTGGAGCCCGACAAAGTTTAATCCACGACATCTGAATCACTCTCTCCATGATTAATGGAGCCTTTTGTTGTGGATGGCAGCTCTCCAATTGCCTATAAACAAGAAAACAACAATCTACATTTTCTCTCTGAATGCCTGAAATAGTTTTGCTGGCGTTACCATGTGCAGCTTTGGTCTTTTGGCAAGTTAATTGAGATGAAGGTTGCCAGGTGTTGTGCTCTTACAGGCCTGAATTGTTTTGGACCATAGTCAGATTGATTGAAAGCTAATCAGACTCGCTTGCCATCTTGTCGGCAATGACACAATCAAACATTATCAAATGGGAATGCAATTTGCTTGGCCAACAGTGGTCCATTCAGATGCAAATCGCCTTACCTTCTTTGTTGAGTTTCAGAAAAGCGGAAAAGATTACAAGGCCTTCATCTGGAAGCCTCTTTAACTGTACATTAACAGTGACAAAAAGAGATAGAAAATAAAGGTGTTTCATTGTGACTAATGTGCGTTTGCTACAGGAGCTAAATAGACGGCGGCAGGTACAGCATTACAAATGATTCAGTGCAAAGCTAATTCCCAGCGCTGGGCCCTTAAATCCGGCTTACATAGCCACAATGGTCCCAAACCCGCTTAAGCGACTGTCAAAAAGACAACTGAGCATCGTACAATGGTAATCTAATCTGGGTTTATCTCTAGGTTTAGGCTGGACTACAAAACCAGTACAGGTTGGATGATACCAGTCTCTGAGAAGGCTACACAAGAGTTTCAGTCAGATCACAGTAAAAGTGTTGTTATTGTTAACTAAAGCTATTAAAAATGGCTTGAGTTAATTGAAATGAAACTGAAATAAAATGCATTAGATGAAAAACTTGAAGAGGACTTAAAAAACTTAGAAATGTTGCCTTGTCAGTCAGATGAAATAAAACAAGTTTAAGCTTAAGTAAAATTACTATAACTAAAACTGAAAAAATCTATATATAAATATTTATAAAATATTAATTAAAATCACAAAAACACAACAAAATTGCTAGAACTAAAATAAAAAATATAAGATAATTTAAAATATTAATACATACTATAATAGATGACCAGAACCCAGGTCAGACATGTCTCCAGCAGTCACTTAAACTTCATGGAATTATGAGATGGACGTTTTCTGGCAGGGTAACAAGGCCAGCATTGATGGTTTCCACAAAAGTTAGATGATTGAAAACACAGAGGGTGAAAGAGAAGGAGTGCTAAATGAAGCGTCTTAAAGGAGGAGAACATTTTCATACCTCAACGGCATGAATCGAAAAAAGTAGCATGCTATGATTTTTACTACAAATGTGAGAAGCTGTTCACAGGACTCTAGCTGTAAGCCGAGACGCCCATCAAAATTGGATCCGATCCAGAACAAGCGTTTTTTCAGCACCCAACTTTGACTTTTTTACGGGCGCAGTATAAACTGGTATTTTGGAGCAGTCCAACAAGCGTCTAATAGCCCTCTGAACTACTGTAAGTTCTTGTGTTGGGGCTTTGTGCGGTTGTGTTTACTTCTGCACAAAACCAGAGAGACCAATCACCTCTTTTGTGGACACTGTTAAACCTCATTGTAAACACTGCACCGAGATGACCCGACATGGCAACACCTATCAGGATTCTATCTTGTTCACAACACACCAAGTATCACGTCTGCACACACACACACACACACACTGTAGCTCCCAGCGCCCTGCTTTTCCTGCCCCAGCAGTTTCGGCTAGCTTAGCCTCAGTTTCATTCAGTGAATGTCTGACTGGCAGCCAAGCCCTGGCCTTTAGCAGCGCTTCACTTAGCCGGGGCTCTGGTTCTCTCTCTTTTTCTCTGGAACCAATTCAAAGGCTCAAATGGTTGCCATTCTCACATGGAATTGAGGCTTTTTTCCCCTTATCCCCCTGTATCAGCTCTCTCCTGCTCTCTACCAATCAATCCTTTTCTCTCCCTCTCTCTGTTTCACCCTCTTGCTGTCTTTCACCGAAATCCCTTACGCTACACTTTTACAGGCCCCATTTTTTATCAGCTGGGTTTTGCCGAGGCACACAAAAGCCCCTGTTGATGTAGAATCACCTGGTGCATGTACAGTGCCGTGAAAAGGTTTTTGCCCCCTTCCTGTTTTTTGTATTTTTTGCATATTTGTCACACTTAAAAGATTCAGATCAAACAAATTTTAATATTACACAAAGATAATGCAAGTAAATACAAAATGCAGTTTTTAAATGATTGGTTTATGCAGCAGGACAATGATCCAAAACACACCAGCAAGTCCACCTTTGAATGGCTCAAGAAAAACAAAATTAAGGTTTTGGAGTGGCCAAGTCAAAGTCCAGACTTAAATCCGATTGAGATGCTGTGGCATGACCTTAAACAGTCCATTCATGCTCGAAAACCCTCCAATGTGGCTGAATGAAAACAATTCTGCAAAGAAGAGTGGGCCAAAATTCCTGTGAAAGACTCATTGCCATTTATCACAAACGCTTGATTGCAGGTGTTGCTGCAAAGGGTGGCACAACCAGTTATTAGATTTAGGGGGCAATTACTTTTTCACGTAGTGCCAGGCAGGTTTGGACAGCTTTTTTCCCTTAATAAATGAAATCATAATTTCAAAACTGCAGTTTGTATTTACTCAGGTTATCTTTGTGTAATATTAAAATTTGTTTGATGATCTGAATCTTTTAAGTGTGACAAATATGCAAACAATTAAAAAAACAGGAAGGGGGCAAAAACTTTTTCACACTGTATATGCTAACTGTATATGCACTCCAGCAAGACCTATGACACAATAGCAGGATATTCCTCCACTCATTTTACCCTTATCAGAGCTGTTCAGTATGGGCAATCTGTGCCTTGTAACCTTAGATTTTTAGTGAGCTGGCAGTTGCCCTTTTTCGGTTCTGAGATTAATAGAGAGCTTTTTTATTTATGCGTATATAAAAGAGAACAACTATTTGTAACTATAATTTATTTTTTATTTTTTTATTTTTTTATGAATTTAATGCTGTTGAAAACAAGGTTATGAGGTATAGACCTAAAGTCTTTACAATGGCACACACTGTATAAAGGTCCTAGATCAAGTAATTTTCGCCATTTTACAACTTTGTTTTATGGAGGTTTCTTTTGGAAAGATGTTTCATCAGCTAAACAATCGCTATGTTGTTAAACAATAGTACAATCAATTGAATGTACCTCTTTCCCCCGTAGCCTCGTTTTTATTCCTGTCAAGAATTAAATATGACACTACACTGACTAAAATATGTTACACAAGACTTTCTGGTGGAATCCACCCATAACTGTTTTTCTTACTTTGTATTGTGCTTGCTAATTATTGATAAGACTTATGGTTTGAGAGTTATTGATACTACTGTAAAATCATAATTAATTTGGGATTTGTTGTTTTTGTTTTTAGTTTAGTTTAGTGTAACCCATCCAGAACACATTTTTCAGAAAATGTAAAAATCTGGTTTTCTGATTAAAGTTCTCATGAGTGGTATGATTTTATTGACAGATGACACGCAGCCCGTGGGAGAAGAGGAAAAAAATGATGCTGCTGATAAAAAAGGTATGAGAGAATCTGTGTTCTTGTGAGTGCAAGTTCAACTGTCAAAGTCAGTATCACCCAGCATTCCCATCTTCCATGCATTGTTGAGGAAATATCAAAGTAAGATGGAGTCTCTTCGGGACGTTCTGTCAGGGTGAGGAAACCTGTTTAAGGAGCCGTTAGCCTTCGAATTCTACCATTTCAGCCTCTTCGGTTGTGTAGCACTGAAACAATTACTTGCTTCTCAATAAGATGGACTAAAGATAATTCAATTCGTACACTGAAGGGCGGCAGCAGGCTATTAACGCCACAATTTCTCCATTTGTTTTAAAGCCAGAGGGTTGGAGATGGTGTTTTTTTTATTTCTTTCTTTAATATTAAAGCAGGCAGCACTGATGTCTTTGGGGAAATTTCCCCAGGCTGGTATCTCTCTTCAATACGCAGCACAAAGTACAAAGTCTTTTTTTTTTTTTCAGTAAACTGATACTTTAGCAAACAGCAACCTACCAGATTTTGCCTTTCTAAACAACAAATATATTCCAGGACTACCCTTACAAACATTTGCCAAATTCTACCAAATGTTGAACTACTATAAAATCAAGTCAATATTTAACAATATAATTTTTAAAATATACAATTGTTTTTAATAATTTAACACTTTTTCTGGAAGCTATATGGTTAACATGGTGTATTTATGTTGGGGTACACTGTAAAAAAGAAAATCAATGAAAATTTTCAGTAAAAAAAAAAACTCCTGCTGTGGGTTGGCAGAATTTTATTGTAAAAGATATGGTAGCAACATTTTAGGTTGTCAATTTCATTTAAATTTACAAGAAAAGGTGTTTTTGAACTGATATAATCTCTAATCTAAAGTACTGAATTACTCAAATCTGTTTTGTACCTTTATAATACACCGACAACCACCCCAAAACACAGGTGGTAATTGGAAAGCCACATGATGAAACACAGTTCATCACAAATAGCTTTTCCATAAGCTGAGGTAAATACTATACACAGGGTGCGATTTGTGAAAAAAAACAGAGGGGGGGATGCTTTTGAAAACTTTGTATAGACGTATAAAACTCTCATAGGCGGACACTGATCCAACTACCCGTCTTCTTAGTCATTGAATGTTTTTAATACGACGGAAACTGTATTTAACATGATCAAAATTTAATAAAAAACATTGTAAGTTAGGCCTGTTAATTGTAATGATTTAATTTCCACAGTTATTCAAACAACAAATAGATTATATAGAAAAGGTGAGCAAAGAACACGGCATCAACGGAGCTTTTTGAAACTCCGATTCAGTTAAACCATTGCGTCGCAAAACGATTCACTGTTTCGAAACGCTCCAATTGGATTGCGTATCGCGAATCATTTGATTCAGATCGGGACTTCAAAGCGCGTATCGCGATTCGCGATTTTAGACATCGGAGCGGGTTCGCGGAATGATAAAAAAAATTCAGCAGAGGCAGGGATGCATAGACCAGAGGGGGGAAATCCCCTCATCCCCCCCGGCAAATCGCACCCGGGCTATACATATAAAGATGGTGCACACACACACTGAAAAAAATGGTGTGGAATTTTCACTCAGAAATTGCTAGTAACATTTACAAAGAAATAGCAAGTAACATTGAATTAAAGGGGTCATATGATGCGATTTCAATTTTTCCTTTCTCTTTGGAGTGTTGCAAGCTCTTGGTGCATAAAGAAGATCTGTAAAGTTGCAAAGACTAAAGTCTCAAATCCAAAGAGATATTCTTTATAAAAGTTCAGAGTCAGCCACACCTACCTAAAACAGCTCGCTTTACGGCCCACTATGTGGGAAGATTTGCATAACGCCGCCCAAATGTTCACGCAAAGAAAGAAGGCGTAACTTTTAG